ATTGTTCATTCCGGCCAAGCAGTGGCTTTCAGTGGGTGAGTCTCCTTCCTACCTCCCAGCTCTGATCATTCTGATTCATATTTATAGAGGTGAAGCGTTCCCCGACAATGATGGGATCTGTTGTCCTCCTTGAAGGGCCGTCTCCCGGTGTAATAGAAGCCTCAGTTTGCGTTTTTTGGACCTCGCTGGTGTATTGGCCGATGTTCTCTTCTTTCAGACCACAAAACAGAGTCTCCGAGGCCTTGCACACGGCTCAATGGACTTCTTTGTTCAGCTTGGCTTTGAAAATAGCAAATATTTCTTCTCGATCAAATTCATTCCAGTGATGTGTCCCCCGGGGGGGCCCTCTGAACGCCCGACCTGTTCTGAACATCTCCCCTCCTTGTTAGTAGTCAGCCATAAACACGGGGAGATTGCTCCAGCTGTATAAGCAAGCCGGGGCAGCTCTTAGTGCCGGGGATCCATCCGCGCCCAAGTCATTATTTAGACCTATGGAGGGTGACCACACCGGACATCTGGATGGGTGGTTCCGGAAACCGTTCTCGGGGATCAAATGCAGGGCTAGGAAGACTTGAAGTGTAACTAAAGGGGGTCAGAACGTCTGTCAGGTTTTTTTTTGTTTGTATGCAAAGTCCAATTACAGCACCAGACCAACGATCTAACTGTCCAAAACTTTTATACTGGTGTTCAATCAACAGGACAGTATAAAATGGACAACACGTTTCGGGGGCTCAAAGGCCTCCCCCCTCTTCAGGGCTACAAGACTGATATGAATTAAGAATACAAATGGTTGTCAAACCTTCAATTGTATCACTAAAACTCACGACTTTTAATGATAAAATTAATCCACCCATCAAAGGCATTTTGATAGTTGCATCACTGTTCTTCTCTGCATTCTGGTGGGAGGGGCCATCAGGGTGCTGTACATGGCTTCCTGGAATCATCACAGGACCCTGACTCAGTATTGCTCTCAAGAGCCCTCAGCCCTGATGCAAGCCCTGGGCTGGGTCTCGGGAGGAGTTATGCAAATATCAAAATGCCTTGATGGGTGGGTGTCAATCTGGAGAAGTGGGCGGTCCTAGGCTGAAAGTTAGTTCCTAAACGTGTTTTTTTTAGGAACTTCCATTAAAGTCTATTGGGGCCAAAACACAGCAGATGACTCAGATGAGAGCGGGGCCATAGTAAATGATGGGGTTCCTCCAATTGAGGTTTGTAGTTAGACATTCAGGCTACACAACTCTCAGGTGTGAATGGGGCCTTGGGGTGGGGGCGCCATCTTTGCGTTCCCAAATCTGGGCCCCTCACACGACCACTAATATTGTTTTTATTGATGGTGCTCAGAATGCAACTGGAGGAGTGGTGACCACATGGTGGAACAGCAAATACCTCAAGGTGGACCAAAAACTATCCCCCCCCCCCAGAGCCCCCAAATCAGTGGTTATCAACTTATGAGGTATAGGGAGGGCTTAACTGTGGCCCCTGGCATCATCAAAGGGCCACATGTAATGTTCAGTATGTGTAATGTTAAGAGAACTGTCAGAGACTGTAGACCTGCTAGAGGAAAGGATGGTCAGAGACAAATTTGGAGACCAGAGATATAATACAGAAGACACTGGGGAACATGTTACATGAGGCTAGCAGAGATCACTTCTATTGCCTCTTTACAAATCAGTGCTCCTGTTCCAATTCCTTGCTGCTGTACCAAAGGGCCACATGTAGCCCTCGGGCCCCAGGGGCCTAAATGATGTAAATACCCAAGCAAAGAAGACTCAACCTATAACTTAAATGACACTTATTGACTCAAACTGCAAGCTGGACCAGAAACCATGGCAGAGATCTTCCCACCAGAGATCCTAAATCAGATATAAAAAGGGGTCTCAACAAAGAAGACTCCACTTTTTGGCCGATTGGGTCCCCCTGATATTTTTTCGGCTCGTCGTTCGGCCTCTTAAAGCGGCAACAGAATAGACGATGGCAAGTTTGGTCATCCATGGCGATGGCAAAGGCTGGCAGTTGGCAACTTTTTGCGCTGTTCTAAAAGGTGCATCTCCTTGAAGTATCGCTCTTCGGGGCCGTGAAGTATCTCCGCTGTATCCTATTCTGGTCCTCCTATCCCTTCCTCGAGGTATCACTTGGCTTGCAGTGGAGCCAAAAAAAGAAGGAAAAGAAAGACCCCTATTTTTTTCCTAGGAGGCCAAGGAGGTGTGTAAGTGGGGGGTGGGGTGACATAGGGGAGCTGAGGTATACGGTGAAGAGGAAATACCAAAGAATTATTTTTTTCTTCTCCCTCTCTCACTCTCCTCTAAAAAAAAAAAAAGTTTCATGTCGCTGGCAGTGGCTGTGGATGAAGAAGGAGGGGGGTGTAGGAGGAGGGAGCACTAGGCAGACATGACCGCCCCTCTCTTCAGGAGGTGTGAGGACGAGGAGAAACTTAGAAAGAAAGAGGCAGAGACTGTTAGAGAGGGAAAGTGTGATGTGGAGTAACCAGGACAGGGAGATCTCACCCCAACAGCACGTCGCCACCATCGGAAGGGGCGAATAAACCCACCCAACAACCCACAGGGTGCAGGACGCAGCCAATCCCGGAGGAAGCCTAAGGGGTTAATCCTTTTTTTTTTTGCTCGTTACCTGACCGCCATGGAATTGGGCATCCCGGTCCTGCAAAGTCGTGTCGCTGCTTCTGCCTCGGCGTAAAGGATCGGGCCAACGGTTTCACCCCCAACAATGCCCTCTGCGTCACTTTGTCTCCCGCGTCCACGTACAGACCCCAGGATGACCTGGCTTTGCCTGTCCTGCATGCTCTGGGTACGTAGCACGAATTTCGCTCCCATCACGGCTTGTCAGAAGCTGATATCCATGCGAGCCAAAAAAAAAAAAAGAAGGTTTAGAAACTGTTAACTGGTGACAACATCCTTTGTATTGAAGTCATCTGCGTTTGCGGTTTTCCTGGCACCAGCGTTTTCTGTGCAATAAGTATCGGGTGGAGATGCCAGACCACCAAGAGGATTCGTTCTATAACGCACCGATGTGCAAAATGCTATAATCTCTCCCAGCTGATTGCACATGGCCGGTTGCTATGGGTTACTGCATCCTGCACATTGGTCCAGTCATAAGCCAGTGATACTTTGTTACTGTTCTGTATTGTGTCAGGTTATCAGACAGTAATAATCCTTTGCTTATCTTCCCTGTGTTGAGGATGTGATGCTAAAATATTTATTATCTCAGCCGGCCGCTCTTCTTATAAAGTCTGCTGCTCTCAAAGTGGTGAACAATGGTTGCTATGGGTTACTGCATCCTGTACAGTGGCTCATTTAAACCAGTGATACATTGTTACAGTTCTGTATTGTATTAGGTTATCAGAGAGTAATAATCCTTTGCTCATTTTTCCTGTGTGTGTTCCTGTGTGTCCTTTGCCAGCCGCTCTTCTTATAAGTCTGCAGCACTCAAAGTGATGAGCGCTGGTTGCTATGGGTTACTGCATCCTGCACATTGGTGCAGTGATAAGCCAGTGATACATTGTTACAGTTCTGTGTTGTATCAGATGATCAGAGAGTGGTGTAGCTCCTTTGCTTATGTTTCCTCTGAGGATGTGGCATTTCTACCTAAATGCAAAATGATTTATGATCAATCTCTGCTGACCTCTTTTCTTGTAAGTTTGCAGCATTCCGAGCGATGAGTGTTGGCCGGTTGCTATGGGTTACTGCATCCTGCACATTGGTCTAGTGATAAGCCAGTGATACATTGTTACTGTTCTGTATTGTATCAGGTTATCAGAGAGTAATATAAATCCTTTGCTTATGTTTCCTGTGTGTTGAGGATGTGATGTTTCTAATCAGATGCAGAAATATTTATCATCTCAGCCGGCCGCTCTTCTTATAAGTCTGCAGCACCCAAAGTGATGAGCGATGGTTGCTATGGGTTACTGCATCCTCCACAGTGGTTCATTTAAACCAGTGATACATTGTTACAATTCTATGTTTTATCAGACAGTAATAATCCTTTGCTTATCTTTCCTGTGTTGAGGATGTGATGCTAAAATATTTATTATCTCAGCCGGCCGCTCTTCTTATAAGTTTGCAGCACCCAAAGTGATGAGCAGTGGTTGCTATGGGTTACTGCATCCTACACATTGGTGCAGTCATAATTCAGTGATACATTGTTGCAGTTCTGTGTTGTATCAGATTATCATTGTAACATATTGAGGATGTGGCATTTCTAAAGAGATGCAAAAATATTTATCTACTATATCTCTCCCGGCCAAACACACTTCTCAGAGCGATGAGCGCTGGCGTGTTGCTATGGGTTACTGCATCCTGCACATTGGCTCCATTAAACCAGTGATACATTGTAACAGTTCTGTGTGGAATCAGATTATCTTTCCTCTACACCGAGGATGTGACACTTCTAATGAGATTCCAAAATATTTAATGTTTCTCTCGGCTGCCTGCACTTCTTATAAGTCTGCAGTGCTCGGAATGATGGAAGCTGGCTGGTTGCTATGAAGTCTGCAGTGCTCAGAATGGTGGGAGCTGGCTGGTTGCTATGGGTTACTGCATCCTGAACATTGGTCCTGCTATAAACCAGTGATACATTGTTACTGGTCTATGTTACATCAGATTATCTTTCCAACATATTGAGGGTTTGACATTTCTAATGAGATGCAAAAATATTTATCTACTATCTCTCCCAGCCAAACACACTTCTCAGAGTGATGAGCGCTGGCCGGTTGCTATGGGTTACTGTGGGCATCCTGCACATTGGCTCTATTAAACCAGTGATACATTGTTACTGTTCTGTGTTATAACAGATTATCTTCTTCACTGAGGATGTGACATTTCTAATGAGATTCAAAAATATTTAACATTTCTCTCGGCTGACTGCACTCCTTATAAGTCTGCAGTGCTCAGAATGATGGAAGCTGGCTGGTTGCTATGGGTTACTGCATCCTGCACATTGGTCCAGTGATAAACCAGTGATACATTGTTATTGTTCTGTATTGTATGTGATTATCAGAGTATCATTTAGCTGCTTTTCTTTCCTCTACACTGAGGATGTGATATTTCAAATGCAAGAAAAATATATTTTATTATCTCTTCCCGCCAACCGCAAAACTCTTAAGTCTGTAGCGCTCGGAGTGGTAGAAGCTGGCCGGTTGCTATGGGTTACTGTGTCTTCCGCATTGGTTGAATTAAACCAGTAATACATTGTGACTGTTCCATATCAGATCAGAATGGGATTCATCTCCTTTGCCGAGTTTCTCCTTTACATTGAGGATGTGACATTTCATTAGAGGCAAAATGATTTATTGTCTCTCTCAGCTGATGGAACTTTTCAGACTGGGCTGGTGTAATGAGCGGTGTGCCTCAGGGTTCTGTGCTGGGTCCCATATTGTTCAACTTATTTATTAATGACATCGGGGAGGGTGTTAACAGCTATATTTCCGTGTTTGCGGATGACACCAAAATAGGGAGGGTAATAGACACGGACTTAGACACTATAACATTACAGGAGGACCTGGATAAAATAGGGGAGGGGGCATTAATGTGGCAGATGAGGTTTAATGTCGATAAATGCAAAGTAATGCACTTTGGAATTAAAAATAAACAAATGGGTTATACAATTATGGGGGTGCCGCTAGGGAAGTCAGAAATGGAGAAGGATTTGGGGGTCATTGTAGACCACAAACTGAAAGGTAGTTTGCAGTGCCAGGCTGCTGTAAACAAAGCTAGCAGGGTCTTGTCCCGTATTAAGAAGGGGATGTATTGCAGGGACAAGTCTATAATTTTGCCACTTTATAGATCATTGGTTCGACCTCATCTGGAGTACGCGGTCCAGTTCTGGTCACCAGTACTAAGAAAAGATGTCCTTGAGTTGGAAAAAGTCCAGCGGAGGGCAACCAAACTAATTAGGGGTATGGAGGACCAGAGCTACGAGACAAGGCTACTAAATTTAAACATGTTCACATTAGAGGTGAGGAGATTAAGGGGGGATATGATTTCCATGTACAAAATGTTCAATGGTGGCAGCAACATTAGCGATAAACTGTTTAAAATTAACTCCGTTACAAAAACTAGAGGCCATCACCTAAAATTGGTGGAAAAAAAATTCCAGCACAAGGGGCGAAGGGGGTTCTTCACAGTAAGATCAGTTAGGGTCTGGAACTCACTGCCACAGGCGGTGATTTCAGCAAATAATGTGGAATTGTTCAAGAAACTTTTGGACGATTTCTTAAGGGACCGTAATATACAGGGGTACGGGTACTCCTAGAATGAGATCCTAATAGGTTGGACTTGATGGACTAATGTCTTTATTCAACCTCAAATACTATGTAACTATGTAACTTCTTAGAAGTCTGCAGCAGTCAGAGCGATGAACACTGGCCGGTTGCTGTGGGTTACTGCATCCTGGCTATTGGTTTAGTTAGAGCAGTGATCCATTGTTATGATTCTGTGTTGTATTGGAATATTTTTCCAACATATTGAGGATGTGACATTTCTAATAAGATGGAAAAATATTTATCTGCTATCTTTCTCCTCTGTACATGTCTGCAGCACAAGCAGTGATGGAAGCTGGCCGGTTGCTATGGGTTACTGCATCCTGCACCTTGATGATAAAACATTTATACATTCTTACCGTTCTGTGTTCTATTTGTCTCCTTTGCTCTCCATTGATCAGAAAGATGTAATATTTCCAGTTGGAATACAAAAATCTTTGAGATTTCGGTTGGCCGTGGACAGCAGATACCGGACAGGAAGTAAGACCGCCATCTGTCCATCAAATAAGAGGCACTCAGCCAGGACCTGCCGTAATCTCCTACCGGCGTCAGCCAATTGTGGTTCAGGGCTGGTGCAGACCTGGGAAATCTGGGGACCGCACGATCGTGCACAGTTGCCATTGCCGCGCGGCCCCATTGATTTCAATGGAGTTACATCCGTACCGCAATCGCAGAAAAAACATGCACTTTTTTTGGTGGCGCACGTTTTAGCCGCGGTCGTGTTCGATTGCATGGGTGGAATCCTGCGTGATCGTCCCGGCGCAACTGCGGCACATTTAGAAAATAATGGCACCGCCAGCGCGATCGGCAGCGGTGGGTGACTCCGCGATATTGTGGTATTGTGCGCGATTGCCGCGCGGTCACAGATCGCGCAGGTTTGCACGTGGCCTAAGGCACAAGCACTGTGCATGTCAGTTATCGCTCGCCGGTCCGTTTTTCCTCCATGTTGGAAAATAAGTCACAGCAAATCACTGTTCAAATATAAATGATGAAACGTTGGGAGGTTTTTGTTCCATTTTAGGATTTTCATGATTTATACGGCGGTCGGGGTTCCATACAAGTCGCTGAGTGTATGGGGTGCTCAAAGGCCAATTAATATGCCAATAGATTTTCATGCAAACATGGGGAGGCCATACAAACTCCATGCAGATACTGTCCAGGACTGAGCACTTTAGTTTAATGCTAATCGTTCTCCTTAGCATCCTCTGCATTATGTAGAACCGAAATGTACAATTTGTAGTCCTTCAGCTGCTGCAGAACAAGTCTCAGCATACCTAAAGCCTGCACACCCTAGCTTTGCTCTGTGTTGGGCCCTGGTCCCCTATTGCACCCCTTTCCTCAAAACACGGTCCATCTTTTAGGTCCATATAAAGAACTGACAAGGTTCTTATCACGCCGAGCCGCGTCCGCCCCGGATATTTATACACGGCTTATTTTTATAAGATGGAAAAGTAGCGACGCCGTCCCTGGCAACCGGGCAAATGTTTATTTTTTGTGTTTCGTCTTGTTCCGCGGAGGAATGCGCTCGTTA